ATAAGTTGTCTGTGCTATAGTAGTGTAGACACTTTAGTTACTTTATTAATTTGAGAGGTATTCCAATTTGTTTTTGCCATCTGTAATTTTGATATCCTACTTAACTCCAATAGTATTCTGCAAAAAGTGGTATATTTGTCTATAGATAACAACTTAAAACGTAATAGTGTAACAACATACCGACCCATAGAATATCGCAATATTTTCTATAACAGCTCAATAATCTATTACATTTCAAAAAAAAAAAAATTCTATGAACTGTAAATCTTAACTTAGTGATAAAACCGATGTTGGAAATTGCGAAATCTATTCTATTATATCAACTACTATATTTTATATAATGATATATTTACACATCTTTTTAGGAGTTTCTGAGTATCTGAGTAAGATTGTACATGGAAAAAAAATTAGACTTACGATATCGTAGGCCCTTCCTCTTTATGTGGTGGCTTTTGTGGTGTACATTTCAAATGAAAACAAACATTGTTAAGCTGTATTAGTCCATTTCCATCAATATCTATGGGCTTCTCTTCTTCTACCACATCCTTGTCGGGATCAATTTGGTGAGTACTAGTTATTCTACACTGATCTAGATCGCTTATTTGAATGATTCCATGTTTTTCATGTAAAACATCGTTTAACTCTACAGCGAACCGAGCGACATTTTGTCGACGTACCTTTTCTTTTGAAATTTTTCGCAAATATTGTATTTTAGTTAGAAATTTCGATCGTTTCAAATTCATTTCGCTTGATTGATATTGATAATGAATAAAGGTTAAGAAATATACATAGGAGTTAATTTTATGCTTCCAGAAATTTAAATTTTTCTTAAATATGCTAAGTGTAACAGATTTGTAGCAGGTACTTTCCAAGACTATTTCTAAATTTTACACTATTTTTGGATATATTTCTTAAATCTAAATTTTGTGTTATAATTTATTACCTCATTGTCAAATTTAAATAACATATGATTAAAAAAAAAAGTTAAATTCTTTATGATTTACGATTAATATTTGATATAAAAAATGACTAATTTTACATATTCAAAACACTGAAATTATAGTAGCTATCAATCGTTTTGAGCACTTGTTCCATTTCTGGTCGATAATGTGGGCTTTCCGCTATACAATCAAGACCTAATAATATAGTGCGTTTACATATCTCTAGTTCACCTGGTAGGGCTGGCACATTTTTATCTATCAGATTCTCGACTTGGTGTTCGGCATTGGCAAACAATCTACGGATGTGTTCCGTAAGTAAAACATTGGCACGGTTTTTATCATAAGCACGTAGCCCAGTAAATGCTTCAAGCAGCACTACACCAAAACTGTACGTGTCTACTTGAGTGCTGAGTTTTTTAGAATGTAAGAATTCCGGTGGTAAATAAGGTTTGGTACCAAAAACTTTTGTTACTTCAACGGCTGAATTAATAGCATTTGGTCCTTCACGTGCCAAACCAAAATCACCAATTTTTGGATGTAAGCACTGATCGAGCAGTACATTCGCTGGTTTTATATCTCCATGTATGAGTGGCTTATCCCGGAATGTATGTAAATAATTGATACCTCTAAAAATAAAAACGGTTTAATAATAGGTTAAGGAAAGAGTAAAATATTCACTCACCTTGCAGTACCCAAACATATATTAATGCGTTGCTGCCAATTGAGTGGTGTAATCTTTTTCGAATTTAAGCGTTGTTCCAATGAACCCCCTTTCATAAGTTGATATACTAAACAAGGTTTTTCGCCTTTTATGCTATAGCCATACAATGGCAAAACATTATCATGACGACACGAATTTAAATATTTTAATTCATTGAGACTCTGTTGAATTTGCACTTTAACATTTTCACGTTCATTGGAACCTCGGTAATGTATTAATTTTATAGCAACATCTGTGTGTTTCCAATAACCGCGAAATACAGTACCAAAACCGCCTTTACCCAGAATGAATTGTTCGCTCCAATTATTTGTGGCTTCCGTAAGTTCATGATAGTTGATCTCTAGTATGGAACTGGCATACTCCTTAACATTACGCTCGCTTAAATAATTTGATTGTTGTTGCTCTTGTTGCTCGAGATGTCCATTTGAAGTTGAGTAGGCAGATGTGCTATTATTGTTATCACTTGTTTCTAAGTTATTCGAGTTGCTTACACCTGAGGAACTACTGCAGTTGAGAATCTTTTTGGAATGATCATTTGAATTTGTTCTATCTTGTGCCATAAGCACGCTTAAAACAGGTTGGCTGTTAGGTATCAGTATATGATATTTTCGCTCCACAAAATCCTTTAGTAAACGCATAGCTTGAAAAAGCTTTTGTCTAAAAAATTCAAACATTTATAAATACAAATTATGAGAGTTTTATACATATTAATAATAATAAAAAACCAAAATACAAAATACAATGATACAGTAAAGAGAAAAAAATCGATTCATTTAATATTTTTATATACATTTAAGTAACTACAGTCTGTAGTAGTCTATCAAACAATCATTAATATTATATTAAAAACTTCGTGTTACTTTTTATACTAAAAAACTTTTCTGCTAAGAATTCACTAATATTTCCAAAATTTAATTATTTGCTATAACGTTTATTTTATTTAGATTAAATTGCTCCAAAAAACCTAAAATTGATTATAATACTTTATTTAAATATATATGTATAATAAATATATATATTGCTACACACGTCATAGCATCTAATTTAGTATATTGTATAAATTCTATTTAAAAAAAATATACAATGCTATCAGCTTCAATTTCTTAATGATGTTTTTTCATCTCGCTATCTATATATCATTTTAGCGAAACTTAAACCTGACCAAAAAATATATATATAAAGCGGATATAATAATGACTAATGTGGGAAAAAATTTGTAAAAATGTATATAATATTGATGTATAAAAATGTTTAAACGTATAAAATAAATAGGAAATAAGAAAGAAGTCTGAAAAATTTGTGTTCAGATTATTGAGGTACTATTTTCTTGCTTTACCCGGATTATAGAGATTACAAAGAAAATTTGTCCGAACTACTGCGATGTTTGGATGATTCAATTTCAGAATTATTGAGAGTTTACTGTACACATATATACAGTAAATATAATTCTCAGGTCTTATTCATCTTAAATTCTAATTTCTACGAAATCTACACATTCAATTTAAGTGAATAAAGTACTTAATTTATGACTGTGTATGTTTGATATAAAATTAATATTATATTAATAATATATTAATAATTAAATAACAATAATATATTAATATATTAAATATTATATTAATATATTAATAATAAAAGTTTAAATTTTCTTTTTATGTAAAAAATATTGAAATGTATTTTTGGGTTTCACCCCAAATCGTACTGTGGATCTGACAAATGTATTGTATTTTATAACGACCAATATGTTTTAACAATAATAACAGAGCTTCAAACAATTATTACAATATTCAGAGGAATTTGTTTTACAAAATTTTAATTAAACTAGATATTCCTCTTTTATAAGTATATTGTCTATATACTTATGTGTATTTGAATAATTTCTTAAGAAATTACTTTATGTGTTTTGTGAGTATATATATACATACATACATATTTAACTCGTCATACCTCTTTAAGATAACGAAGAGTTCAGTTACTGTATGATTATATTGTCCCCCCCAAATTTTGAGAAATTCATCAATAGGGGAATTTCCCAGTGTTTGTTGACGACGTATGCTCTATAAATATAAAATATAATTACAGAAAAAACCAACTATATTGCTCTTAATTTATATATTTATTTACCTGCATTTCAGCCGTTTTAAGACTTACGGCTGTGGCGAGTTGGTTCCAAACATTTAACTCATCCAAATGGTCGCACAGAAGTTGTCGCTGCGATGGTGGCAGTTCATAAATGTACATATTCTCCCTACCATGTCCACTGCTGCTGCTGCTGCTGACCAATGAATTTGACATTTGAACAATTATAGCAATAAAATTTTGGAATTTAATATAAAATGACTCATAAAATAATTTAATTTAATTTCAACGCATTTAGAGATATAAAACCACAAGAAAAACAAAAAAAAATTTTAACTCAATGATCTGCAACAAAACATTAAAAACAACTCAACACAAACAAATCAAATTCATTGCACTTAATTACGAGTTTAACTGGTGCGACAGCGAGAGTACAGGAAATTACGCAGCGTTGTTTAAAAAAGTATTGCTTTAAAAGGTAAATTATCAACAAATGAAACATTATACGGGTATTCAGCATGTATGTGCATCATTGCAAACTCAAATAATCGTGAACACACTTTGTGCATATTAGTCTTGAAAATATTTAGAACAGCTGATTTTTGTTTACGTATTTATTTGCTTGTAAAACATAACTCAGATTTGATATGCATAATTTCAACAAATGCAAAGAACAAGTGAAAAACAGAATACATTGACATTGTCTGACATTGATGCACGTAAAGTAAATAAAAAACAATTGCACAAAATCATTAAATTACAAAATAAAATCAAAACAAACTTAACGGTTTCGCTGAAGTATTGCCCAGCGAACAGTAAAAAAAGTAATATCATTCACAATAGAGTCTGAAAATCAAATATGCAAGAGGTAATTGGTGTTGAAAATATGGTCTTGAATATTGTCTTGCAAATCAAGTGCAGAATTATAAGAAAACGAATTGTTTTTGTAAAATCAAATAAATTTGCACATGCAACGATGCACAGACATCTTGAATACCCCTTAAAGGAAAATTCAACTAATTAATAGAATAGAATATTTAAAGTAGGCGATAATAGATAGATATTTGTAAATTTCTTTTGATTTCGATGGCCATAA